ACGTGCCCTCGTTAGACCTCCCCATTGGAAAGCATTATTCAATGCTTTCCTATGGGGATTCCGGCAACGCTCGACATCCTCTTGCAGAGCGTGGGGACGTCGAACGTCATTTAAAACACTTTTTGTGATCTAAGAGCACCATCTAGCAACTGCCTGAGAGACAGCAACTAGAGGTTGGATTAGCCCTGTAAACAAAACCGCAGTGTTTTGACTAACAGGGCTAAGGGGAGAGAGGCAGGGCACCCAGACCACTCCAATGGGAAGAAGTGGTCTGGGTGCCTACAGTGTCCCATTAAGCATGCGTGGGATAGAAATAAGGCTATCCTAGATATAAGATAAGGCCAGGGACTAATGAGAGTATTTAGAAAATTGGGCAGACTAGATGGGCTAAATGGTTCTTATCTGCTGTCACATTCTATGTTTCTATACCTTCGGACAGTATGTCTGTCTATCAGTATGTCTGTGTGTGTGTGTCAGGCATACTGACACACACACTGACAGACAGACACATTTACACACACACACACACACCCCGTGTGTGTGTGTGTCAATATGTCTGTCTGTCTGTGTCAGTATGTCTGTCAGTGTGTGTGTCAGTATGTCTGCTAGTGTATGTTTGTATGTGTAAATATGTCTGTGTGTGGATAGCCTTCCATCTGTCAGTGTATGTGTCTGTGTGTGTTTCAGTATTTCTGTTAGTATATGTATGTGTGTGTGTCAGTATTTCTGTCGATGTGTGTGTGTGTGTGTGTCAGTATGTCTGAATGTGTGTCAATATGTCTGCCAGTATATATTTGTCTGTCAGTATGTATCTGCGAATGTGTCAGTGTATATGGCTGTGTAAATAGTTTTGAATCTCTCTACTTTAGCTGCCCCACTGCATTGAGGTGAAAAGTGATATTAGGGATTGGGTGTAATTGGGAGGGGGTGGTAGGGGCAGTGCCCAGGGGGGCCAAGAAAATGCTTTTCCCTGGATCCTATTCATATTATAGACAGCCCTGGTCAAAGCATGTGAATTACACAGGCTGGTGTCTAAACATATTTATTTTGTAATTTAAATGGACACTATAGGCATCAAAACAACTTTAGTTTAATGAAGCAGTTTAAGTGTATAGGTCATGTCTGCAGTCTCACTGCTCAATTCTCTGCAATTATGGAGGTAAGTCACTTTATTTCTGTTTATATGCAACCCTGGTCACACCTCCCCTGGCTGTGACTCACACAGCCCGCATAATACAATGGTTTCATTTTCAATCAGATGATAATTTACTTTAGAAGTTTTTATCTCCTGCTCTGTAAATTGAACTCTGTAAATTGAAGGCTCCTGCAGGGTCTAGCAAGCTATTACCAGTGCAGGAAATAATGAATTCTAAATGAAACAGAATTTGAATAAAGGAAGTGTAAACATTAGATCTTTTTTTACAGGAAGTATTCAGGAAGGCTGTGCGAGTTAGATGCAAGGAGGAGTGACTAGGGCTGTACAAATAAAGTGATTTAACTCCTAAATGTCAGAATTTAGCAGTGAGACTGTAGGGGCATAATCTATACACCATATTTGCTTCATTAAGCTAAAGTTGTTTTAGCATAGTTGTCCCTTACATTTGCCATGTGTTTTATTGCAAGGAAGCTTTGCTATACACTGATTTACCCAAATATAGAATTCTTACAAAAGAGGCCTCAAAATATTGAATGCACTCATAGATCCTGGTTCTTACCCTGCTGATGTTATACCCTGAGCCAAATAAGCAGTAGAGGGAAGAAGAGGAAGGGTGATAATATTATCATGTGATGGTCTACGTATGAGTGTTGGTAGATGTGTTATTATCAGGGCTATGCACTAAAGTGAGAATTCAAAGTGAATTTCATATTTAAGGTCAAAATACTCAAACTGGAAACATTCTCTGAGTTGGCTATGCTTTCAGTTTGGCTAGTCTGACCTTAAAATTATAATTCCCTATGAATTCTCACATTTCCCTGAATATGTCCCAATGTGTGTAAGTGAACGCCTCAACACTCCAAGGGCCAACCTACTAGATAGGACTAAACATTACTCACCACTTTTTCAGATCTAAAAAACAATCAGATAGATTATATAGTTAAATGTGTGGCATTCATTCTTGGTCACAATTTCTTTTGGGCCAACAACCAGCACTATTAGAAAGTAGAGGGCACCACCATGGGGACCAACCCATATGGTGCAAATCTGGTCCTATGGCGGCTCAACATAGATGACTGCATTTTTATCTGGAGAGGAGACATTCTTTTAAAGGACCACTATAGTGCCAGGAAAACACTTGGCTGGGTGGAGAGGAAGGGGTTAAACTTACCTCTTTCTCCAGCGCCGGGCGGGGAGCTCTCCTCCTCCTCTCCGCCTCCTCTCCTCCTCTTCGGCTGAATGCGCATGCGCGGCAAGAGCTGCGCGCGCATTCAGCCAGTCCATAGAAAAGCATTCACAATGCTTTCCTATGGACACTGGCGTCTTCTCACTGTGATTTTCACAGTGAGAAGCGTGGAAGCCCTCTAGCGGCTGTCAATGAGACAGCCACTAGAGGCTGGATTAACCCATTTATAAACATAGCAGTTTCTCTGAAACTGCTATGTTTATAAAAAAAAAAAAAGGGTTAACCCTAGCTGGACCTGGCACCCAGACCACTTCATTAAGCTGAAGTGGTCTGGGTGCCTACAGTGGTCCTTTAAGCAATTTCTCAATTTTAATCAATATAACCTTAAATTTACTTTTAATCAATCAAAAGAAAAACTGGAATTTTTAGATTTGGAGATATATATTAAGAACAACAAGATAGAAACTAAAACATTTAGAAAAACAGTTGCGTGCAATAGTTTTATCCCATATAACAGCTTTCATAAACCCACTTGGTTAAACAATATACCATTTAGCCAATTCCGAAGGATTAAAAGGAACTGTTCAGAACCAGAAATCTGCACGCAGCAAATAGAAGACATGAGGTCTCAATTTCAAGCTAAAGGCTACTAGGAAGACACACTCAATAAAGCCATCATCAAAACCACTGCATTACCACGATCACAGATTTTAGAAACAAAGTCCAAAATTCCTACCAACCATTCAAACATCCCAACGTTCATTACCAGATTTAATAACCAATCCGGTCAAAGAAGGAAGATTTTACAAAAAAAATTGGAACATTCTCAAAGGGGATTCACAATTAGAAAAAATATTAGGTAATCAACCATTAATAATTCATTCAAGAGCACCTAATCTAAGTATATAAAGAAAATTCTAGTTTCAAAAAATATGAAAGGCATAACATGCAGGAACAATCCCGACCAACACCGCAAAGAATTTATGCATCTGCAAACAAAAGAAAACGTTTTAATCAAAAGTCATCTAAACTGTAACACTACAGGAGTTATTTATCTGTTAAATTGTCCCTGTAATAAAATATATATAGGACGTAAAAAAAGAGCTCTTAAGACTAGAGTCAGTGAACACATACGAAATATCAGAAAAGGCCTCAGTGTACAAAACCTTTCAAAACATTTTGCCATCAAACATGAATTAACTTCATGGCAATACAAAAGACCAACATTCCATGGAGAGGGGGAGACCTAGAGAAAGAATTGGATAAAGCAGAAGCCAAGTGGATTTTTAAATTTTATCATTTTTTTATGATTTAACTATTTATTCTTTTCAGATTTGTTTACATTACAAACATTTTCTAAAGCACATTTTTTGTCTAACACTAACAATATATCAATATCTACTGACCATGTAAGGTGTCTCATTAACATATGAACCCATCATAATATTTAATATCTGATCACGGTTTGTCTATATATTTAGCATATATGTATATGTATTACCAATTGTCTTTTGTACACTGCTAATTTATATTATTATATTTTATCTATTCTGAGTGCAATATTTCTCTATATAAATGCAAGGTCGTTTGATTGTTATTCGTTCAATCACGTTTTTTACCATTTTATTGTATCTTTTTATATGTATTTTTATACTGTACATTTTAGAGCACTTTTTCATATAGCATTTTTATCATATTGTATTTTTAAGTATTTGCTTAATGAATAGGGAGGTGGTTCAGAGTTAGTGATTGGTAAATCGGGGTTTATGGAGAACCGAGGTGTGCTTTTTTTTTTTTTTTAAATAGAGACAGGAACATTTTTTACCATTAGTACATAAAGATCCTCTTTCTATGCTTACAGAACTCCAATAATGGGTTTTAAATGCATGAGTTCCAATGTTTTAAGACTCTTTATTTTAAGAGCTGTGCTTTGCAGCACTAACAGGGTTAAGTTAGAGATTTTACATAGTGCATGGAGAGGATCTGGGACTCTGAAAGCTGCAGCTTTTATAATTTAGTATTTTAATTGTTTGTAATTAACTTTCCTTTGATACTTGTTCCACTGAGTGCTGTTTGGCACCTGGCAGAACCAATGTGTCTGTTTTTTTTTACATGCATTTTGATTGGTTATGCAATGTGAATTTCAAGTTTAAGGCCAGCAAGGAGGGGCAGGGAGCATCCCTGGAAACAAATTTAGTGGAAATGATATCACAAACAGTGACTATGGGGTTACTGGGATCCAATTTTTTATTTCATGCCCTAAACACAGGGCAAAAGGAAAGTAAAGACCTCTTTGAAAGTATGTAGTAAAGGAAAGCTATAGTGCTCTGTTAAATGTTTAGGTCCCTGCCCCCTTACCGGTAAGAAGCTAAAATGCATTTTTACTCACCTATTATCCCTCGTGGTCACACGCTGCTCTGTAGTCTACCCAGCTCTGTATACAGGGCCTTTTACACCCTAGGCAAGACCAGCTAGTCTGCCCCCAGACCATGGTAGACAAGCTTCTGAATCCCCTACCCTGTCAGACCAGATAGCAGTAACCTCTACCATGATAGCCATTACATTGGGTAATACTAACAACCCCTGGATGTTGGGCAAAAGTAAATCCCCAGGACATTCTTGAAAACCAGAGTAATTTGAAACTTCACCAGCCGCTACTGATGGCTCTTCGGCAGAGGTGATAATGTTATAGAACAATTTAATACATTTATTCCATTATTCCTCCAAGCTCAGTGTCTCTTTAATAACAAATCCATTGGACCCATCACTGCTGTTCAGTTTGGGAATATTGAAAGTAATGTTCAGACGGGTGCTGTGTTGCCATTTAGGATGTTAGTAGTACATGTCAGACGTGATGGTTTAGAAAGGTTAGCAATCCCTGTTCCCTGGTTCTCCATTGTCCTGGAGAGATCAGTAACAATTTCAGTCACACACAGTAGCAGGTTGAAGCACTGAGTCAGAGAAGGCTCCAGAGACTGAACACCATGAGGGAATATCAGGATTCTGTACTGTATCCGAGAGCTGGAATTGATGCCGGTTGGATTTTCTGACTTCTCAGCATTTTCTGTGAACTCGAGGAGTAACCATTTACTGATCCATTTTTCCACTCTTTCATACGTTGTATATGCCTGGATGAGCTTCCCTGCTCGTATTTAACAAACACATTTCACAGAATACTAGCTATTAAAAAGTTATTTGTATTCTGAATTTAATTTATATATTGCAGTTTTTTACATTGAAATTTAAGTGACACTTCTCGAAGGGGGGGGGAAGAGGGGCAGGAACATTGAAAATCAGCTATAACGTGTGCTAAACGGTTTTCATGTGACACAATTTTTCTTTTAAATTAATACTTCAAGCACTATAACTACTGCAGGGTGCTCTTCCTTATTTTTATTCCATGTACACTATTTAACATATTAACATAGTTGTATGCATTTCATTTTAGGCCCTTTTAAACCAATAATTCTTAAAGGCACAGTATCTATCTGCTATTCTTATCCCTTAAAGGTACAGTAACTGTATGTTGTATTTTATTCATATTCTTTATATCTCTGTTTTTCCTATTCTCACACACGTTAACCCCTTAAGGACACATGATGGAAATATGCCGTCATGATTCCCTTTTATTCAAGAAGTTGTGTCCTTAACGGAGTTAAATATTTCAGTACATTTAGTTGATTTTAGTACATAAAGTTGTACCTTCCCTACGGGCTAGCTCCTGGATAACACACGCCTTACAGTGTAAGACGCTACCTCCACTTGTGTATAGGAGCACGTACCCATGTGGGTGTCCCCGTCCACGAATAGATGCATTGGAGACACTCCAGGGGCGTCTCAGAGCTTAACCCCTAAATAGCAACATAAAGAGAAAAAGGAACAAAGGCGTCTTCACTGAGTGGAAATGGAGCCTTCCAGGATATATACGACCAGTATCCTGAATGGATAGAGATAAGATGTAGTGATATTAAGAAGTAACAAAACGAAAATAATGACTAATATCTAGTCGAATAGTAAAAGTATATAACCAACCTTATAAGGCTAACCTCTCCTTTAATATAGTCCATAAAATAAAAATACATATAGATGCTAATGCAACAATTAGCACATATCTGGTTTCATTTTAAGTGGCCAAACTAGGCTGTCCAGAAATACCTGCCCGCTCGTATAGGACACTGGGCGCTGGTCACGGCCTCAATGGAAGGCCAGAAGCTCCTCCATGAAGCTTCCTTCCATGCTGGGCTGGCTTATCGGCTGATTGTCAGCTGATCTCTGTCAGCTAATGAGCTAAGCCCTCACTGTTGGGCTTAGCGGAGAGCTTCTGCCTATCACAGCAAAGTGTTTGAATGCTTACATTACGGGGGCGCCAGAATGCTTGCCATCTAGCTGGTATTTGAGGCTGTGTGACCTGTGCCGCTATTGCAAAAACACAGACAATGCAAATGCCGGTATTTTTCTCTCATAGAAGAATGTTCTACAATATTGGCACCAGCCACCAGGGTGTGTAGTGTTCTCGGGCCGTGCTAGGAACCAATGTTTGCGAGGCGGTGATAAGAAGTTACAGCATGTCTCTGCCCTCTCCACTGACAGAATCCAAATGGGAGCAATGGGAGATACCGTGAGAAAGGTAGCCAGCAGCTCCAAACCTGCAGCAGGAGTCTAATTTCAGGTAAGCTAAGTTAGGAAGGGGGGGGAGGGGAGGTGGTGGAGGGGGCTAGAGACAAGGGGTGCCATAGAAAGAAAGATATAGATGGAGATTGTATTTAAGGAAAGACATAGATAGGTCTTTGTATAGGACGTGCCATCCCCAATATATATAGAATTTCAAGGGCTTGTTTTGTTTAACCAATTTGCTTCTAATGCAAAATAGTTTTTTGTTTTTTTTGTGTGTGCAAATTTCAAACAATAAATAGCAATACTTAGCACTATAGCAGAACTGGACACTCTTACAAATCAGCTACTGTGGCCTTAGCTTTGTAGTTTGGCACATTGAATATTCCGTAGGACAGGAGATAAACCACAGAGGTTTATTAACTAAGCTGTGTAATTTACTGCATTGAAATATTTACTGTACAAAATAGGCAAACTCAATTGGTAAAAATCCCCAATTTAGCATAGGCACAGCCTGACTATTAGCAATTTGGATTGTAATTCATTACATTTTGGTGTTTAGTGAATAATCCCCCTGTGTAATTGTGCATTTAATTTTCTGGCTATGAAGCAGGTAGGGCTGTGACAGACAGCCTGCTGCTGCGTCTATTTAGTGAGCACTGTAGGGGCATTCCAATCTCTCCAAACTGCACTACAATCCCTCTACAGAGCAAAATGAAATTGGAAGTGGTTTAATTTTTCGCTTACAAATGTTTTTTTGTGTCCTCTTCCATCACTCCATGTGATGTTCCATCTTGTGATGTCATGTCCTGTGATGTCATGCATATATTTATGCAAATTAGCATGGCCAGCATATTTTCCAAGAAAGGTGGCAAGCCTAGGTGCCCGGGTCCTCCTAGCACCATAACCATTACATAATGCTGTAGTGATTATGATGCTCGGACTGTCCTAAAGTCTCCTTATTAAAATAGGGAATGTCCTACCTTACACTGTGCTCAAGAAATATATACGGATCCACAGTTTAGTATTAACTGAGAGTTCAATCAACTTCCAGAAGTAAAGCCAAGTGTCAGAACTGAAAAAATAATCCCCCATAAGCCCCTCTACCATTCTCCCTTTTGCTAGATTCCCATTTCAAATGCCCTTCACTAGAATAACTAAATATTATTAAAGCAACTACTCCAAGCACTATAACCACTGCAGATAGCTGTAGTATGGTTATAGTGCTAGGTTTCCCTTATGCCCTGCAAGAGTAAGTAGTCAAGCTGTTATATAGTACATGGGTATTTCGCTATAAGAGCATTGTGGGGCCTTGTCTGGTTCCCTAAAAGCTGTAACTCAAATCTTCTCTCACTGACAACTTGGGAAAATAAGGTCCCCTTAGGGTTGCAATAATGAAAACCTCAACACTCAGCAATAGTGTGTAATGGTGGTTCATTCACCCATCAAACACAGCGTGGAAACAATTCAACACTCAATGTGTCTTCCTCAATCCTCTCAGCGTTGACGTTACCATGGCAGATATCTTAATATTGACGTGTATTGAAGAGGAAACCTACCCACTTAAATCTTGGTATTATATACACCAGTGTTACTTTTTTTTTTTTTATAGGGATGAACATGATGCAATAGACACAGGTAAATGCTTTTACAGTTCAAACATAGGTTACAAATAAAGAAGTTTTAATCCATATCAGCTTGTGTAAACGTTCCACCAACTCTCATCATGCACTACCAGCATCCTCTTCTTGGGTCTTCTTGTGCAAGCAACAGATCACTAAGCATGATGAGAGTTGCAGTGCAATGGGGCTTATGCATGTTGTCAACTGGTCCCTTTTAACTCTTGCCTCTAGAAGGCTTATCATTAGAGAGTTGTAGTTCAAAGCATTTGGTACAATACTGATTATCCTTGGCTGATGCAGAGATTGAATATCGTGAGAGAATCTCCAATCATTCAAACTCTTGGGCTGTTTTTCACTGCTGCTGGGGCATGAAAAAATAGACTATTAAAAAGCTTTATAGAAAATTAAACCCATGTGGAAACATCTGTCATCTCCAGTCGATGGGCATTAGCCAGTTTAAGAAAGAACAGGATACCTTTTTCACATTCACTTGCAGATGGTAAGTGCCTGCTGTGAACCAAACTACATATGGGTCTCCACACAGAAAACACATGTTAAAAGAAACATATCAAAACATTAATGCACATTTTGCCAACATTTCTTACCTTTGGTTTAAATAAGGCAGTTATATATTAATAAAATATTTGTATCTGAAAATGAGCCATTGCTGCAATATCTCTTTCTAATTAGCTATGGATTTTATCCAACCTGATTAACTTCAATGTATTAAAATTAAATACAGTAATACATTATTCACAAAACTAGAAATTATAGTGAACTGACAAGAAAACTGCCAATTTTCCATCAAAATTGCTAAATAGTAAAACTGCTCCAAATTAGATATTTTGTTAAAAATAGGAGTTGCATCTAAAGACTAATTATCATGTGGCAATCATTTTGCCAGAGAGTGGAATTACAGCGATCCTTAGGGGGTACATACCTGCACCCTTCTCTGTAATTGTGTGTGCTTTTGTAAATCGTGTGTGCATTTTGCACAGGAAAGGTCAGAGCGGTCACATTCAAATTTGATTCCAAAATATTAAGCTGAAGGAAAAGTATGCAAACACATTCAGGGACCAGGTTTCTGTGGATGAATTGTCCACATTTATTTTGAATTTGTGTGCATAGAAAATGGCAGTGAAACAGTCTATGAAAGGGGCAGGGGAATGGAAAAGTGTAGAATGTTTTTTTCTCTGAAATTACACTATGTTTAAAAACGTTACTCTTTAGTTAGTATATATATATATTTATATATATATTTAAACTCTCATTTTCCCCCCCCAATGATTCCAAAATGATACACACTGCAATACAATGTTGATGGCACTTTCAGTCTGATATGGCATTGTCCTATTTACATTAGTGAGAGAAATGTACAAGACAAATAGCATACAGTGTAGACATTTAGTAATAACCGTAAGACAAAGCATTCGTTTGATCAACATCTCTGTACAAACTATTGGAACATGACTTTATTCACATAAAAATAAAAAATAAAATAAAAAGGAAAACAATTCCAAGATTTACTTTGACCTAGACGTTGCCCCCAAAAATCATATTCCGCAATCTCATACCATTTTTCACATTGCTTGCACCATCACCAGACTACATAGCTATAAGCATTAACCTAAAAAAGCCAAAAATAACGAAAACAAACTTGTCCTGGCTTAATTTTCTTTCTCTCGTTCATGAAAATCCTTCTGAAAAATATTAAAATGATTCTCGTACATGATCCTTCCTTCTTCACTTTCCAATTCCATCATCAAAACAAAAACAAAAGAAAATATATTTAAAAAAAAAACAAATAAGGCCATTCGAAAAATCAGATCAAGCATGATTCTTAGCACAATGTCCTATGTGCCTTGAAGGTCCTACACCCAGGAATCTGGGGATCCAGGGTACTGTTCAGATCTATAAGAAGGTTTCCTTGTGGAGTAAAAGTCTACATAGTTTGTGGTTGATTTGAGTCCATATTGCGCGTTCTGATCTGCAGCAGGTGTGTAGTGAACACGTTCGTCAAAATACGGGTCCTCGTAGCTGTGTGGAGACTGCAAATACAATCGGTATGCATCATAGTTTTTCCTATTTGAGTCTTCATGACTATAGTACAGCTGATGATGCTAATGACAAATGAAACAATGTTATTCCAATTAAAACCATGAGAGAGTGAGAACATCAAGTGATCTCTGCAGGTTGTCCGTCTACAAGGTAAAAGGTAGATTCCCAAGCTGTTGCAGAACTACATCTCTTATGATGATGGCTGGCAAACAGCCATGGGAGGTGTAGGCTCTAAAATAGCAATGGTTCTGCCTTTTAGCCACCCTTGCGCTAAAGAATTTTTATATTCTGAATGTCATGCACTGTTCTATGTAATTATTATTTTCAACCTGCAGGTGGCACCAGCAGAGCCTCGTTTAGGTAGCTTGCTGCAGAGTCAACCATCTCTCCTCTTAGTATTAAGACTACATTTGATGTTGTTTTAGTGAGGCAAAACACATAATACTAAATATTTAGAAACTAAAATGGCCCTTAAGGATATTACCGAGGTTTTACTTTTCAAGCTAATTTGCACATTCACAAATTGAGCATTAATGTCATACTGTCAGTAAAAATGTACCCTTTACACTAGAATATTTCAAGGCATGGTTAGCAAGTTTATTTATCATACTGCTAACGGATCTGGGAATAGAAAATATTAGGCCGAAATAGTCCAGATATAAAAATAGATCCAGTTTGGTGTGAAAATTCCAATTTCCAATATATTTTCAGTTAAATTAATAACCTAATACATCACTTAACTGCAATTTATTAATTCACCAAAAATGTAATGTTTTAAGTTTTCTGTCTGCTGTTAACTATTGTATCATTTCATGACATACATGTAATAGCACCGTTAGTCTTATCATTCCCCTCACACTATAGAGTTTGGCAATAGCTATGTTCATTTTTTCATTCCTCAGTAACTGTTTTGGAATAAAGTATCTTTGGAAAAACAGCAGTATTCCAGTAAACTAAAACGTGAAATATGCATATCACAATTTCTGAAATATGACTATTACCAGCCTGTAGGCTGGTGCTAACATCGGGTACACGCAAACACTATATATTAATAGAGAGGGGGTACATAACGGCACAAAGAAAATAATGCCTCTGAGGGGGTTATAGAAACAGAATACACCACATGTATCCCCCATTAATACACTTCAATGTTATGCTTTTTTTTTTTTAAATCACGATTCAACATTTCCACTAGCAACTGGCAAGTGACAATTCAGCCCTGGACAGTAGAAAGTCACCCGTGGGCTTTCTGGGTTTGCAATGCCAAGTAATCTTTAACTCTGTCTAGTACCACAGGACGTGAAAATGTAAGCCCAGTTTTACATTACATGATTTTTTAGGGTTAGGACTGGTGTTCCTTTAATTTGAGGGCACTAATTGGTTATACATATTCCAGACTGCCTGAGATTGGTGGGAGTTACCCCCACAGGCATCCGCCATCAATAATTCACTTCCTCGTCTGATCGTGTTGTAGCAGAGGAGTTTGAGAGGCAGAATTGGGCTGTTTCAGACTGCTCAGTTCCAGATGGCACTGTAGCTTTATTTTGGACTACATCTCCCAGGATGCTCAGCTCACCACAACAGCAGTGCCAAAGGTTATGGAATATAGGTTCATACCTGACATCCGCCAATAAAACAACAGTCAGTCTCTCACCTGCTGCCGTCTGTTCGGTTCTCTTGCTGGTGAGGAATAGGAACTGATGTAGATAGGAGACGGTTTGCTGGACCCTAAAAAGAAATGGCAAAGATTGAGTCTGGCGGTTGTCATTTTACCATTTGAGTTTTGATAAGTTATGGACTGAGTGCAATTTATCTGTCACCTATCAGAACATGGACACTGCTTTCCCCTCTTGGCAGTGAAAGGGTTAATGGGGGTCTATCGCCAATAGTGTTATTTTATTTAAGTAGTTCCATATAAAAATAGTATTTTTCATGGTTCTATTGTTGGAGTTCGATATCCACTAAATAACATTTACACTTCCTGTCTCTCAAGCCAATAACTATAAATTATTTGCTGATATTATTACTATGGTGCGTTCTCACTTAATGACTAGTCGTAATGACTTGAAAACAGCCTTTCAAAGTTTAACCCCAACATTGGGAAAAATAATGTATTAGATTTTTAAAGCAATACAAATTAGTATTTAGTAAATGGGCAGAATGCTGTGATAACCATAAATTAGACTCATGAAATATAATTCATATGAAACAATCTAGATCAATCATAAAACAAAATGTGTTGCACAGAAAGAATTGGATCTTCCATTTAAAAGCACAACCCTCAATGTTTAAAGACAGATGTAATATAAAATGTTAGACAATAGATATGTAGTAAGCTCACAATTTCCCCCAGTTAACATTGTACTGTTTACATTGTATTAGAATGCACAAGTTGTATTTAATAAGTGGAGACAGAATTTTATACAATGAATATTACATTGATGATAGGTCACCGATCTACTGTCTGAAATGTACAAAGCTGGAGCCTATTCTGAATTCTAACAAAATTGCTAGGAATAAACCAAATTATGTAAACCAGAGTTTGCCACATGTAACCTAAAACTGGGGTCATGATACTCCCTGTACAACGCTACAGAATATGTTTGCGCTTTGTAAGTGAAAACAATGAAACACTATTGAGATCATTATATAACTTGCTAGATGCTCTAATTTGATTTGTTCTAAATATAGAAATGCTTTTACATGAAATAATTTAAAGACTATCAGCCACTGTAATATATGTAAGCAACCAAAATCCAACTTATTCCTAAAATCTATGGAGTCAAACAAGCGTTTCGTGATCAGACATAGTGAAGGAATCTTAGCTCAATTAATATTAACACATTATTATTATTTATATAGCACCAACAAATTCTGCAGCGCTGTACAATGGGTTTTAACACATTAATGCTATCAAACTACGTATAGATTTTTAAATACCCGCTCTAATAATTCCCCTGGTAGATATGATTTACATTTGATATGAAAATTTAAATATTAAGTTATTAGGGGGGCGCAGTCTGCTGTCATCGCATTTCTCGACAATGATAGCAGAGCTAAAATGTCAGGATGATGGCAGCTTCATCAAAGGTTTCATACTTCTCCAATCAGTGCCAAACGAGAGTTAGCAGCAATAAGAGTTTATGGTTTACATTTTGATGGGAAGCAAGTAAGAAGCTTGTTTGCACCACGTTACTAGATTAAATCTATGGCAGAAATCATCTTTCCAGATCGGAGAGATGTTTGTCATATAAGGACTAGTGATTATTTATGTTCTTTAAAGATACAATTCCAAAATGAAATGCTTTTTCCTATTTAGCATCACAGTGGTACAGAGCTGTTATTTCTAAAAATAAATAAATAAGAAACTCTTATTAGGGACAAGATGGAGATATCAACTAACAATGCCTATGATTTTTAATAGACTAAATTACAAAGACCAATGTTAACACAATACCAAGCAAGATGCCAGCAATTCAGAACAATACGATGACTAAATGGTCAGACAGTATTTGCTGCATTTCTGGGAATTTGTTAAGTGACATCTCATTC